AGCCTTGCTGGATAGAGTATTCTTGGATTCAGTCCTTTGCTTTGCATCACTTTGTAAATTTCCGTCCATTCTTTTCTGGCCTGATGTGTTTCTGTTGAGAAATCATTTGACAATCTAATGGGAGATCCCTTGTATGTAACTTTCCGTCTCTCTCTTGCAGCCTGTAAGATTCTCTCTTTGTCCTGAACATTTGCTATGGTAATTATGATGTGTCTTGGTGTGGGTCTTTTTGGGTTTACCTTGTTTGGGACTCTCTGGGCTTGTGTGACTTTTTTCTTCCCCACCTCAGGGAAGTTTTCTGATATTATTTCTTCTAATAGGATTTCTAATCCTTGTTCATCCTTCTGTTGTTCTGGTACCCCTATTATTCGTATGTTGTTTCGTTTCATGTTGTCCCAAAGCTCCCTTAGGCTCTCCTCCTGTCTTTTCATTTTTTTCTCCAATTGCAGTACGTTTTGGGTGTGTTTTGCTTCCTTGTCTTCTAAATCACTAATTCGGTCCTCCGCTTCTCCTAGTCTACTGTTGATACTTTCAATGGAGTTTTTCATTGCAGCTATATCACTCTTCATTTCTTCTTGGGTCTTACTTAAGTTGTTGATTTTTTCATCTGTTTCTTCTAGCTTCTTGGAGAGGTTGTCGATTTTTTCCTCCATCCGGTTTATGCAGTCTAGGACCCTTATTCTGAATTCTTTTTCTGTCATGTTGCATGCCTCTGTATTACTTAGCTGCTTTTCTGGAGAGTCCTCCTTCTCTTTCCTTTGGGGGTTTCTTTGTCTACCCATGTTTGATCTCGCTGACATATCTAGACGTTGAGTCGTTCAGTGGCTGCTCCCTTGGTGGCAGTGACTCCTTGGTCTGTGGTTGCTCTTCAGGCGGTTGCGGTAGCAGCTGCTCTTCAGTTGGCAGCAGCTCCTCTGGTGGGTGCTGTTCACAGCTGTGGTGGCTCTTCTGGCTGGTGGGGCAAGGTTTCACGTACAGCTGCTGTTCCTCAGCAGAGGGTGTGGTGCTCAGGAGGTTGCTGTTGCTTGGGTCTGCTGCGTTGTTTTAAAGGCACAAAATACAACACAACAAGGCACCACGTACCAGGCACTATACACAAATATATTCACGATATTAATAACCCCAAATAAAGGTGACCACCTGAATTAAGAGAATTAGGGGATAAGGAAGAAGGAAGAGAAAAAGAGAAAAGAGAAAAAAGAAAAGAAAATTAGGGACCAAAAAAAGGAGTGCAAAAATGAAATTGGGAAAAAGGAGGGGGGAAAATAAAAGCGAGAAAAGAAAAAAAAAGAGCGAAAAGAGAGAATGAAGTGGAAGAGGGGAAGAGACTTTTTTATATGAGGAGAATACTCCTATAGAACAGCCATTAATCCCAACAAATTCCAGCAACAGCTCCCTGGAGATGAATGCAAACTAGAAACAACCAATAATATAACGATGAAAATAGAATGGAGAACACTAATCCCAAAATAAAATAAAGAGAAAATAAAATGGCACTTTAAAAAAAAAATGATAAAATGGTAGCAGTAATAATGCTGGTTAAAAATAAGAAGGTAGTAATTAAAAGGGTAAAATCAGGTGATGGAAAAAAGAAGAGAAAAAAAAAAAAAAAGAAGAAGAAGAAAAAAAAAAGAAAAGAAAAAAAAAGAAAAAAAATTGGTTTCTTAGTTAAAAGGTGAAAAAAGAAGAAAAAAAATATTGCAGTAGTGAAGGTCCTTTGGTTCTTCTATTCTTCAGTGTGGCTCGCCTTAGACCTGCCAGGTATTCAGGAGAGTGTTGAGTTTCCCTGCGATACCCTGTTCCTCTGTGTTGTAAACCACAGTCCTTATTTTAAAGCAAGCCGCATTTGTTTCCCAGACTGCCTTATTTTGTGTTTAGCAAAGAGTCAGTTTGTGGGTCAGCCTCTGGGTGGCAGTGTTCTGGGGTTGGCCTCTGAGGCTATAGGGCCTCTCTGTCCAGTAGAAGTTCACTGCCCAGATCTGGCTGCGTAAGAGTTACCAGTGCTGTGTTGTTGCTGGGATTGAAAATCCCTCTATAGGCCAGACCCTATTAACTCCCAGGGACTGATCAGGTTATTTTAATCCTTGATCTCCTACAGGGTGGAATCTGGGTGTGGCTGTGCTCCTTGCCTGGGGGCTGGGGGGAGGAGTCTCACTCTCCGGAGAGAATGGCTGCCTCAGTCCTGGGCTCAGGGGTGACTCAGCACTCAATTCGCTGCCACCTCTCCCGGCCCCCCTTCTCTCCTCAGTCTCTCCCCAGATTCCACTCCTCCGCACACTCTCCCTCTCTTCAGCACAGGTGAGTGTCTGTATCTGAAATGTCCCACGAACAGGATTCAGTGAGAACAAACAAACAAACGCCGGCCACGGAAACGGGGAAGGCTTGGTTTCTGTAAGCTTCTTCTCTTACCGGGACTGCATGGTCTGGTCAGCTCTTCAGGCTGCTCCCTTTAGGCTCAGTCCTCCGTGATCACAGAACCCAGCTCTCAATTCCCCCGGCAGCGCCAGGAATCCCGCGGTTCTCCTTTCCCCTGTTAGGGGCTGTGCCTGTCCCAAGGGACGCGGCTGTCTGCCACGCGGTCTCCCTCCGACTCTCTGGGCTCAGAGGTCTGGCAAACTTTCCTGCCCAAATCCCTGGTTTTTTTACCTTTCCAGGGGAGTTCTGCTCTTCCCGGCTGCAAACCGTCTTGCCAGCTGAGGAATTTCGCCAATTCGGGGTGGATGTTACTAGTTTCAGCTGCTCACTCCATTTGCTCAGGGACACGACCTGGGACGCGTCTGCCTATACCGCCGCCATCTTTCTTCTCTAGTTGTATTTTTGAAGTGGTTGTTCGAGGCAGCAAACTCTGGCGTTAACCTATGCCGCCATCTTGGTTTCCTCACCTTACTTTGTTTTTATTCAGTTTTCTTTTTGTGACTTCTGTCAATGAAAAACATGAATGCTTCTTATTGTTTTGTTTGTTTGCTTAAAATGGAGACAATTTTGGTAATGTATTAAGATACTTGGGTTTGAATGATTCGAGGTCAGCCATTCTCTTTCCTAAAACACGTCAACATATTTGAGAGATGGTCATTCACAGATTCTGTGTGCACTCAAACTCAGGGTCTATAAAGGTTTACAAGTATTTGTGTATGACTTCATGTGTATTTTCAGAGTTATTTTTTTTTGTGTGAAACTTTGAAAAATGAAGAGAATTAAGTTGTTTCTAAAAAGCCAAAGCAGCCTGCCATCTCTTTTTCTTTTCTGGGCTACGGTCCAATTTGCACAGCAGTTGCAAAGAAAAAGCAAACGCATCACTAGATTCAGCGAGAAATATTGTAACAGTATGTAATCTCTGTCAAGATAAAATTGCTTTGTGATTTACATTACAATAAATCCTGACCTTTAAGTGCTGCAGACTAAGCTAATCTGTGAAGCACTTTATTCCAACACTGAATCAGCGAGAGAAGCTCAACCAAATTGACTGCATTAGTCCCACCATGGTGTGGTTAAAGAGCCTATATATATCGAAGCAGATTACAGAGCTTGTTCCATGTGTACTATAATAAGTAGGATAATTGAAATATTCAATCTGTTTCATCATTGTGAAATAATAGAATTATTTAAACCTCCCTTCTGTTTGCCTATTATGAAGATACAAGTAGCCTCATTAAATATCATTAGGGCCTGATTTAGATTGATGAGAACAAGGAAATTCAGAATTAAGGCAAAAATACCACATGGCATTTCAACCTAACTGACTTCTACGGCTGTTATTTATTTTCATTTTCTTTCTTTCTCACTCTTCTAATTTTTTGTAAAATAGTTAAGGTATTATGTTGAATTTCTCAGTACCAGCTTTGAGTTTTGGGCTATTTGTCTGTCCAAGTCAATCATTGGGAAATGGAATTTTCTCAAAGATAGGATTTAAAAATAAATAAATAGAAGTTACCAAATTTGGGAGATTTTGGGCCATTTCCCCCTCAAATATTTTTCTCTCCTCTCCTCTCTTGGCTTTCTTCTAGATTTTGATTACACACATATCAGACAACTTTAGACCATTCCAGAGCTTACTAATACTTCTTTTATTCTGACTATTTTTTCTCTCTATGCTTCATTTTGGATAGTTTCCATTGCATGTCTTCAAATTCACTTTTTTTCTTTCTTTCTGCAGTGCCTAGTCTGCTATTAATCATATGCAGGATATATAAATATATATTTCAGGTGCTACATTTTTCATCTCTAAAAGTTCCAATAAAAAATGCTTTCCATTTTTCTCCTCATCAAACTCATGTTTGATAATTCTATCATCTCTCCTGCATATGCCTCTTTACTTGCTGAGTGAATATTGGCTGGATACTGGATATTGTGTTTTTGTTTTTGGGTGCTGAACTTTTTGGCATTTCTTTAATGTTGGATTTTGTCCTGCCACACAATTAAGTTCTTAGGAATTAGATTTTTTGAGACTGGGCTTTACGTTTTGTTAGTCTAGGGTTAATGTGACTCTATGGCTAAGGCAGAACCCTCTGAAGACTCTTCCTCATGCTGCGTGTATTACAAGGTCTTCCCTCTCCAGCTGGTAGGAACATTTCTTTCCCTGTCCGAGTTGTAGGAATTGCCTGGCTTATTGCTTTCTGTTGCTTCTTTATTTGGTCAGAGGTACAGTATTGTCTTTTCTTGTACAGATCATTACTCATTCAAAGATCTGAAGTAAATCTGCCAAGCTTTGAAAATCTTTATCTTTGTAGCTCCCTCCTCACTGGTACTTTACCCCAGAAATTCCATTTGTCTTGGCCTTCTGTATTTCAACTTCTGTCTTTTCAATGTGGAAATCACAGGGCTCAGTTTTGGTTCCCCTCTCTTGTCTGAGAACTGGAAACTCTCTTTAGGCAATCAGTCAGCTGGAGCAGTGGCAAAGCTCACGTTTTCCCTCTTTTCTTAGGGACCACTCATGTGCTGCTTATTTTTCAAGCTCTGAACCAATTCCTTCTATACTTTTGTCAAATTTTTCTTTGTTTAAGGTGGAAGGTTCCCCGTTACTTTATCATGGCCAGAAGCAGATGTCTCAAATAACTGGTGTTTAAAAGGTACTGTATGATTTTTATTTAACCATTTGTTCAGAAGTTCTTGCCAGTACACATTTCTGGAAACATCAAAATAAGTGATACGACGATTTTTAAACAAATTTTAGACACAATAAATTATAATAATTGTTAATGCTCATTTTCCAACCCAAAGCAATGTAATGAGTACAAAGCACATAGAACACCATAATTACTTCAGCAACTAAAAATCAAATTTTTACTTTTTTTAGGGAGAGATATATAAGAAAGTGTGGAGTGCTGGAGGCCTCTTCTATTGTTTCTTATGATAACTGTTGCTTTGCTCTATCTTAAAGTTACATTTGAGTTCAGGGGAATGATTTTCATTTTAGTAAGGCAAACTTTTTTGTTATTTTGTGATTTTTTATTTTAGATTTTTATAATAAATTTATAGGGTGCCTTGAGGGCAGCACAATTTGCATCACAGGGGGCCACCTAAGAAACTCACCTGGGACAGACCACTCTGTTCTGCCTTGGAGCACTATTACCTAGAACTAGAATTTTTCATGAGATACTCTACATTATAAATAGAGACAGCCTCAGGGCACCATATTAATGTACACTAGAGGGTCTTCTCATGCATTTTGAGGGGAAAATAGCAGTTTTGATATCCCCATGATGAGAGCAAGTATTCCTGATGCTAAAAGGATACTTGAGCACTTAGCTGAAACATAAGCTTTTTTAAAGGTCAATTTTATAGTTCCAAACAATTTTATTTATTTATTTATTTATTTATTTATTTATTTATTTATTTATTTATTTCTGACACTATGACAGAGGACCCATACCCTCCCCCTTCCACCCAGTCCCTACCTCTTCCTTCTCTCCTTCCCTCATAGACTGTTGTTTGTGTCTATGGGAGATATATATATATATATCTCCTTTATCTAATACTTCCCCAAATTTTTAAATTAAAATATAGTGAATTTCTAGATTCATTTGCTTTAATGCTGAAAGGAGAACAAAAGTAATAGTTTGAAGGAAAGATTATATGAAAATATTGATAGATACAGATAAGACACATGAATGGTCTTTCAGGCTACTATTTATTTCCTTTATTTTTTACAAGAATTTATTTGAGTGCAAACTGACAACCTACTATTTATTTTCTTAACAATTAAAAAAACCTGCTACAACCGTTACAACTAGATTTTTACAACCTTTGACTTACCAATATTTAAATTTTCTGTGACCTAATCTGTAGACTGGAGCATAAGAATAGCTCACTGATCTTTTGTGACATAAACTAAATCAACATATATCTCTAAAACAACAATTTTGTTTTTTATTAGGATGAGCCTCATGTCTTTCCAATGACTCAGGGCTTACATTGTCCTCAGGTCTGTCAGACATCCCTACACCTTCTTGCACACAGTCCTAACTCCACATATTTTCTTGTTCCTGTTTGATTTGGGAGTTTAGTGGGGTATGTTATCACGTATTTTGTTTTAGATTTTGGTATGTGGGTTTTTTGTTTTGCTGTCAGAGCTGTTTTCTGGTTTTATGACAGAATTGGAGAGATTCAAAGCTACCCCACTGCCACAACTATCTTCCCAGAATTTCCCCCACCTTGGCTTCATAAAGTTTTTGTTTCCCCATCTGTTAAAATAATGAGAATGAAACAATCTCCTAATTCCCCTTTCAACTCTAAGACCTGTGACTGTATAAGGTAACCTTATTTGGTGGATCCAAAATTTTGAGGAAAGGAGTATATGAGATACTAACGCACTTTCATTTTTTAGACCCTGCATGTCTACCATTAAGTTGCTATGTCCTAGGATTATATTTTGTCCCCTTATCAATACTCATCCTTATATCCATCCACCCTAATAACAAACAATGAGCCTGTACCTTTGTTTCTTAATCAGGTTTGTGGTGCTGTTTGAAGCTATAAATAGCCACACCATAAATGTCATTTTTCAGATACATGATCACCTAAGCAGGCCTGATTGCTACTTAGAGGTGAAATGTGAGTCTTATGTGTGTGTTTTTTGGGGTGAGGGTGTGTGAGATAAACTATTCCAGCTTTATAAGAGGATTTCTTACATGCCACCACAATCTAGACCACTTAGCATGAATTTTCTCTGGGATTTAATAAGCAGCTAAGGAAAGCCAATTGACATCACCGTTGGGTTAATAGTCAGACTGTAGGAGCTTGGAAAACTTTAATAAATCTAGGCATATTGCCTATAGGCATGTAACAATTTAGTGTTATCAAATAGCCTTGTATAGACAGACAGCTTCTCTGTAGAGGGACAGTCTTGCAGAATAGTTGTCAGGAGAGACTTCAGCAAATGGGGACAGAAGACACACGCGGAATACGCAAGGGCAATGTTTCATTCCTCCAAAAGGATCATGAGCTCAACAAATGTAGGTTATGTACCTTTCACCACATTCTCTGAGGTCATACAATTTATATAATAAGCATTTATGGGATACCTACCATTCACCAGTCATTTTGTTAGGTACTTTCTTTATCTTTTTAATGTAATTTTTTCTTAATCAAGTCATACTTGCACATGCTTAAAAAAATCAAACAATACTTTGAAACTCATAAAAAATAGTTGGCCCCTGTTTTATTTCTTGTGTCTTCAATTTATTTTCTCCAGAGACAACTATTTAAATTACCTTAGCTGTTTAATATTTGCTTCCATATAGCTAAATAACCATGTTCATTGCTACTTCTTGATTTATCAGTTTTAAATATGATTTATCAGTTTCCTGCTCTAAAGATTATCGTTTAGTTCTCTATGTCCCCATCTATTCAATACAAATATTTATGATTTCTCATCCTTTCTGTAAAATTATATAATCATTTTTATTTAAGTCAATATTTGTTTACATTGTATGATCATTTAATATTATACATACATAGTGAACCATATATTATACTATATGTCATTTCCTTTCAGATAGAACTTATGTTTTCTCTGAAATAAAAAACATTCCTTCTTTTTTTGTTTTTTACTTTTCCATGTAAATATCAGTAATTCATTTCCAATTTTCTGACAGAACTGAAATTCTAATACTTTGGGTAGCTGTTATATTTACTGAGTGTTAGAGACATCTCTTCCACAGGCCTCTGTTCTCCTGCCTTAATCTGCACTGGTTGCTCTTCAGTCTGTCACCTCGAGATTCCCATCTGTGTATTTGCTCCACCTGCATGCTGTTGCCCCACTTAACTCTAATGCTTATTTGAATTTCCCATTCTTTTATTCTCTTTATGTTTCCGTTTGGATTTTTTTCCTAATGAACTATTCCCCAATTCATTAATTCTCTAGGCCAACCTAATCTGTTGTTACATCCATCTATTGATTTTTTAAATGAGATATTTTATTTTTCAGTTCTAGAATTTCATTGGATTCTTTTTAACATAGATTGCAGTTCTGACAAAATTCTTCATCTTGCCATTTATTTTCTTGCTTACATTATCATAGCTATTTTGAAGTCCTTATTAATAACCATGATACCTGGACTACCTGTTTTTTTTTTCTCTTTTGTTTTTAGTTTTTGTGTTTCTGGCTTAGTGGATAATTTTGACTTAATGCTGGATATAGTAAATTAAAATGTATAGATGCTCTCGATGATTTTTTTCTTTTTCTAGAAAAAATTTTATTTTCTCTGGCAGGCAGTTAAGAGGAGGGATGGGTCACCTCAGTACATTTGTGGTAATTTTTTTCAGTCTGTTCTTACTCCTAAAATATTTCCTTTCAGGGAATCTCCACTAAAACTCTGGAGCTGTTTATCAAGACTTCTTATTCTTGGCAGGCTTTGAATTTCAATTTTTGTCTTCTTGACACTGAGGTCAATTCAAGACTCTGCTTCACTTTTAGTTTCTAACTGCAGATTTCTGCTTGTTTCTTGGCTTCCAATCCTGCACAATTTAAGAATCTGCAAATGCTTTGATAAGAAAAAGTTCCAAGAATACCAGGTTTACTTCTACCAGTGGTCCCCTTTTCTTTAGGATAATGGAGCCTCAAATTTTGGGAGCCACGTATCCCTCATCTTGAATTTGGGTCTCCCCAGACCACTGAAACTGACACAAACTCCCAATCTTTTTGTTCAATTTGTTCAGTACCCCACATTGCAAATTAACAAATGCTCTGAGGGAAAAGCATCAGTGAATCTAAGTTTTACCTCAGTATGTGAGGACCCCGCAGGGGGACCCTCGCTCTGTCCCACCGACCGACGGCGACCCCAATCAACCACAGGAGACGTCACTTGATGCAAACGGCATGAGGCTTTATTCCAGCGCGCGCTGGGGCTCAACCCGTACTCACTCACGCAGGAGTAGAGGAGTTGGGCCCCCAGCAAGCGGTTTTTTCAGCTATTTATATGCAAAAATCACACATCAGGGAGGGGGGTGGCATGCAGGAGGGGGAGAGGAGAACAAAGAGATTTCAAAGGGGTCTGGTTCGTGTCTTGATAGGGCATTCCTCCTCGTGTTTTCACAACCTGTTTATCTCAAGGTTGATTGAAGCCTGGTTTACTCAGCCTGCCCTTTGTTGGGGCTATCTCCTGAAACAGCCTTAGGGAGGGCGTCATTCTCTCTGTTCCTATCTCTAGTGGGGGAAGCCTAGGGAGTTGAGATAAAATGGGCAGCTAGGCCTGGCAGCTGGGCCTGTGCAGTTTGTAACATTCTTTTATTCTTTCATTCCCCCATTTGCTTTTTGGTAAGTTCTAATCATGGAACTTCTGTCTCTAGACATTCCTTTTCGAAACTATCTCTCTGGCGGAGAGACTGGTATTGCTGCCTGAGCACTAGTACCTGCACAGCACTTATTCCTTCTCTGATAAAGGTGACCAGTCGGTTTAAGATACAGGGCCCAAGAGTAAGAATTAAAAGCAATATAATAAGAGGACCCATAAGGGTGGATATGAGGGTCCACTGAGTCCTGGACTTCTCTATTTTGCCTGGGCTGTCTTAAGCCGGGTGTGATGAAGCCATGTCGGGATCCCGTCGACCTGACTGCCGTGGGGGTGGT